TACTCTGCCATAGGATACTACTGTCAGAGACAATCAATTAACTCTGCCATAGGATACTTAATTAATGGTGGAGTTAATTTACTGCACCTTAATACCAGCACACATGTAGACTGTGATACTTTACTGAGGAGCTAATAAGTCAACTCCACAGTAAAGTGAAGCTGCACCCATGTCATATACATGAATTTTATCCTTCTGAGGTTTCATTGACAAAAGTTGGTTTCATTAGATCTACGATAGTAACACGGCCAAATCCAGGAAGGTATGCTAGCACCTAACCTGATTTTCATAGGAGACAGATGACTTAATGCCTTTTTGGATCTTGATTGCCATGCAGTCCCAAACCATTGGGTCCACCTATTTTCCGGCACTGACAATACACATAGCGGCATGTATTTTGAAATTTTTCACGAGTTTATTTAACTTGGGTATTACAGAATTTATTCTACCATTTCTGCTGTTATTGGAATTGTGAAACCCTCAAATGCGTTTTGTGAACATTCATTATAAGAAGGACTGAGGGTCTTTGCACTACAAAGTCCCTTTCCTAGCCTGATTCCAGAATTTTTTCCTTCCCATATGTATGCCCTTGAAGAAAAATGGTATTACTCTGAGGAAAGAAGTTCAAAACTTAGAAAAATAAACATGTATAATGGCACAGATCCAAAGCAAGCTTTATTAAATAAGTATTCCAGTTTAATGGTAGCAGATTAACTTGCGTTATTCTAAACTGGAGTTTCATTTTGCTAGTTATCTAAACAGCTCTCTTTCCTTATTAGCTTTACGTTTGTTTTATTGATCAACAAAATAGCTGGTATTAATTTCTAGTAACCTGGGATCTGCAAATGTCACCATTGTGAAACATTTACTGCTTTATCTGTCCCCTTGTTTTGTACAAAATGAGAAACATTTTTTCAGTAACAAACAGCTTTTCAGAAAATATGTTTTTAATACAATGTGCTATAATTATAATAGTTGACCATGCTGGCCATAGGAATCATTCTACAGAGACCTTGTCACATCTACATTTCTAAGGTACATGGTCAGTGTACACTGTGTTCTGTCAAATGATTGCATCTGTTGTGTGTGGAACAAATATCAATGGAAATGTCTACATCACTGTCTGCTCAAGGCCTGATGCAAATAGTACTTAAGTCAGTGGAAAGACTCCCACTGATTTCATGGGTCTATGGATCAGGCCTTTACATTTATTTCTGTCCTGTGTAAAAAATCATTTTGCGGCTCATGTGAATGCTTTTGCTAGTTTATTCTTCTGTTTTGTGGATGAAATATGAATGAGGGCATTCATGAAAAGCTTTCTGTGAGTTTTGATATTTGAAAAATCAGTGATACTGTAGTGCTTGGTTTGATTCAGTATTCTGATTTTATTGCCATGCTTCACTGAAAGGTATCTGTATTATCAGTTAAGTATTTTATTATTATGTCTTGCATGGTTTTATAATCTAGCAGGATCAAGCAAGTGTTTAATGAGATCTGAGGAAGTGTCAAACTTTTGGTGTATTCCATTATTACATAGCAGTTGTGTGGTTTATGATAAGAGACCATAGAATGAAATGTAGCGCATTCCCTAAATATACAAACTGTATACCCTTTGTGTTAACCCCTAACATGAGATGGTTCAAGAGTCAGTCCTTTACATGAACTTGAACATACTCAATGTCACATCTGGACTATAACAGATTATTAATATTTCCCTCTCTTTGGTGACAGGTGTACAGAGATCTAATGTTTAATCTCAAAGTTTACAAAAATGTCAGTGGTTAATTAGCATGCTACCATCATCGTTGCCACCCCTAACATATGGCCTTAAACTTGCTTTTCAGTTTGCTCCCTCAGCCTCCCAGCATCACTCAGAACAGAGTATTGATCCTAGTCTGTGGGCTCAGTCTAGTACTTAGACACATTGGGCCAGATGTAATTTGTTTTCTGGGTAGCAAACCAGAGTTCTGTAGCAAACCAGATAAATGTTACTCTAAATACCTGGCCTGAGAAGCAGGAAGCTTTAAAGAGTATCAGCAGGCTGGTTATGAGGACCAATTTAAAGCAGTATAAGGGCCACACTAAATTATGCCAGTGAGGAGTAGGCCCCAAAAGCCAAAATCACATCTGTAGGGGCATTGTGGTCATGACCCCTTTTAACTGACCATACTACCTATGCCAATAGCACAGAAGTGGACAATCTCTTTTAAATAAATGGACAGTTTTCAAGGTAAAACATTTCTATTAGTCATTTAATTTTAAGTGGAATTTTTTTTTTAAGGTAGTACTCTAAAGAAAACTCATCTAGTCTTTACAGTTTAGATTGCTCGGTTGAAAAAGAACATGGTGTAAAATCTAAAATGCAGTCTATGTTCTACATGTGGCCCAGCTGAATCATGAAACAGGACCTATTTGAAAATTGTGGAATTTGGTAATTGACTCTTGAAGGCAGATGCATAAAAACACTGAAACTGAGAGTATGAAGATTTTTGAGCAGTTCAGTGAATGGTAAGGGTTTGTATGTGTAGGTTCCCCACCTTTCCCCTGCCCCCCCTGTACTCAAGAATAAAGTATTTAAATGTTCCCTAGAAACTACTCAGATTTTCCTTCATCATTCTCTTGCTGCCTCCAGAGTCTCCTATAACAGCAACTGTCTCTTGGGCTGAGAGTATATCGTGAGTCCAGTTCTCTGCAGAGACTGTTGCTGTGGCACAGTTGAGTACAGTGTGTCACCAGACACTGACACAAAAGACCAGATTCTCTTCTATTAGATGTCTATATGCAAGTCTATTCCAGCCTGCTTGAGTTATTGAAAATCTGTCAATGAATCTATATTATAACTGCATCTTGCTCTTGAAATTGAGTCACAAAATAGCAGAGGGGGAGGACCACTCAACTTTAGTATTAATAGTTTCTCCGAATTTGTGTAGGGTAAAATAGAATTGCATTCTGGTTCCTATGCTCACATGTGTTGCTAGCAGGTACAGTATAATCTGGCCTTAGATGTTCCCTTCCTCAGAAAAGAGCATGCTGCTGTATCCCTATGAGGGATACTTGTTTTCCTGCTGCTGTCTCTGGTACACTGTTATGCTGCTGGAAAGTCATTTTGGAGTGGATAGGTGAACTGATTTGGAAAAATTCTGATCTTTCTGGTTGATATTTGTGAGGTGTCTGTCTACCTTCATTGTTAAGCATGTTGACTGTTCCCAAAAGTTAAGAATGATGAGTGTGATTTTCATGTCATAAAAAGTGTGTGTGTGTGTGTGTGTGAGAAAGAGAGTGAGAGAACAAATTGTATCACGCTAAAAAGAATTTTAGTTTTTGAAGGAAATGATTGCAAATTTTTCATCTTAAGGAACAATGTCTCAATGTGCACCATAAGCTGATTAGCAGGGGGTAACATTTCTGCTACTGCATCAATCCTTAACACTTGCTGTTCAAATCTAAATGTAATTGTAACAGGTTTAATTCAGCTCGGTATGTTTAAGGCTGTTGCTCCATGATGCACACACATCCTCTGACAATTATATGAAAAACCATAGCAGTAAAGTTCATGCTGTTCAACAAGAACCCCAGATCACATCATATATGCACCTCCTACAATGTTTTCTGTGATTGGCCTGTCGTTGTGCTTTCTGTGAGCCTAAATTCTTTGATAGGAAAAAAGCAGAGTAAAGAGGAAAATCCCTCCTGCCTTCTTCCACTGAATAGACAAATCATCATCCGAGGGACTAGAATATTCAAGTTCCATCTAAAAGCCTTTTGTGTATGTTTGGTTTTGTCTGTCCAACTAAAATATACCATAGTGCATGCATTTATAAAGAAAGGTGATCAAAAGAAAATTAGTGATATTGTTAATACCTTTTTCTTCTTAATTGCTTACTAATTGGTTGCTTTTAATGCTACGATTGCCTAAATTTTTGTGCTCTGTTGAATTGTTTGATTCTATTAGGAAAACCATTTAATGAAGTAATTTGGTTTAAGCTTCAAGGCCCTGTAATAAAAAATTACTAACGATGTTGCTTCTTCACATATGCTCTACAACATTTCCTAATAGTTTTTCCACATTTCTTCAGAGGAAAGCATTCACTATTTAATGGACTGTGTTTGATTAGTGACCTGCTTCTCACTCTTGTACAGTTATCTTATTGCTGAAAAAAAATGGGACTGGAATAACTGTGACAAATACACAGGATTTTCTGTATACTGTTTAAGATAGGTGAGGCTGTGGGCTTTTCTCAGAGTCACCAAACTGTTTTATTCCTATTTAATTGTATGTAGGACCTGTCCTGCACTTCTTCCTACACACACCCTCCAGGGACTGACAAATTAAAGACTTCTCGAGTAGATATTTAGATTAAAAGTTGCTTCTATCCTTTGTTCTGCAGATTTTATATAAAAATAATTCAATTATTTAAATCACAGTTGATTGGTATTATGTCTTTATGTTCAGCTCAGAAAAGGAGGAGCATGGAGGACTGTGGGTGGTGCCCATCAGTGACAGTCCACCTGACCATATAAGCCTATCAGATTAGCGTGGTTAAGGTACACCAACCTCTAGTTGATGGCACACAAGGGAACAATGTGTCTAGCATTCACATCCAGCTGCCAGTGACTCACAAGGCTGAAAGATCAGGAACCCATTAACAACTGGGGTTATGAAAGACAGCCTTAGGCAAAGGCTGGAGCAAGGCTCGAACTCATGCCTCTACAGCTAAAAGATATCACTGCCACTGTGCCTCCCTAGGTTATGTATGCCCACCCAAAAATAGACCTGACTCTCTGATACGGTTGGCCTGAGGTGTAGCCTTCACTGTCCTTCCTTATTTAGATCAGGGGTTGAGGTCATCTGGTATCTTGAAACCTCTATTTTGTTTGGAAATGTAACCCTTCCCATAATTACAGTGCGGACCCACTGATGCAGTCACGGCATTGAGAATATCTTTGTCCTCTGTGATATTGTCAGGGTCACCAAGCCTTACATTAGCTCTGATTTAAAAAGGGGAAGAATAACATTAGCATTATGGAATAAGTGCCTCTAAAACTTTACATGAAGAGATGAGTTGCTCAGGTTCTTCTTCTGCAGACCTGTTTGTTTATATATATGTGGGCCTTGGGGTATGACTACAGGGTGCAAGACTGTACCACAGAGAATAAACCCATACTACCTTCGGTACTGGAAGCAGAATAGCTTGAGCATATTAGCTCTTCTGGGAAGTGGAGTATATTAGCCAAGGCACAGAATTGCCGTAAAGTGACTTTTTGCCATAAGTTCGAGAGCTAACACGCATCAAGCTACTTTGCACATCTCTGCCCATTACTGCTTCTTGTGCTGTAAGGACATACTTGTAGCAGGACTTAGGCAAAACCAAGTCCAATACTGTAGTGCAAAAATCCCCCACTCAGCTGCTACAAACCCTAGGGGATGCTAAATTTACTTGAGACATGCATGTCTGACTTGAAAATTTCCCCTAATGCCTATAGAGTTCTACCCCTACACATGCCCATATTATCCCCATCTGAGTAGCTTGGTGATTATCTTTCACTTCTGCTAGAAGCTCTCTAGTAGCTTCACCTCTGTTTGCCTAATTACCATCAGGGGCCTAATCCCTCAGTAATTCTCAGAACATGTCTAATACATCCCAGCACAGTAGGTGTGGTAGCCATACTCTTTCATTAGATGGCTAGAGAGTAGACCCATATTCTATATTAGCGGAATAGTCAAAGAACTGGGTTCTGTTCCCTCCAATCTATAGGTTAGATCAGGGCTGTCCAACTTCGGCATAGCCAAGGGCTGCACATAGGCCAAAAACTGTGCGGGCTGCACCCGCAGCAAAAGGCCCCTCACACCCTGCAACATGGCAGTGGGAGGGGCAGCTTCATGGGCCCACTCACTGCCAATTGATCAGCATTGAGTTAGTCTGTGTTAGTGTCGGGAGAGGGAAGGAATAGGGCAGTCTCTATCCTTCTAGTGAAAGCTGTACCACTTTGCAGAAGGGAATGCAAGCTTCATGGCATGGAGGAAAGGAGAGAAAAAGAGTAAGAGGTTGGAAGGACATGCAGAAGTGTGACTATGTAGTCCAGTGATGAAGGCTTTCACCTGTGAATGGAAGTCCTCTGCTCTGTTCCCTGGACCGTTTCTGCATTTTTATCTGATGACTTACGTGCTTAGTCTTTCCTGCTGGTTAGGTCAAGGTGGCACCCCGTTTAGCAGGTACCTTCTTGTGGTTTACCCTTCAGATGCACTGAAATCTCCCCATGCTCTGTACAGAGAATCAAGGTGCCTAACTTAAGGGCCTGAATTCTTCTCAGGGCATCCCTTAGAGGTGTAATAGAGGTTTGCTAACAAGGAGGACATATAGCAGTAATTTATACAATGGTTACAGGTAAAAGCATGGTACAATGGCATGGTACAATGTATAGAATGAGCCCAGAATGGCATGCTAGTATAAAAGTTCTTGTAAATAGGAAGTACTGTATTGAGAAGAAATAATAAGAATCAGAAGAAAGATGCTTCTGAAAAAGGGATTGCTTGAGCATTGTGCATATTACCACATCTGACAGAAACATCCTCATGTTACAGTATAACAACTCAGATTCAAAACTCCTCTGATTATCAAATATTATGCACAATAACATGTGTTAATTTTCCAGTAAGGTGTGGTGCATCTTGCTGTATTTACTTGCTAATTTATTGTTTTCTTTTAGAGGCAAAATTTCTATAATTAACTCCTATATACATTATGCCTGAACAAGAGATGTTGCCTTACTCCTAGGGGTAGGCCAAGGAAGCACTGTGCCTGTAGCCAGTCAAAACTCAAAACTTCCATTTTTGTAGGCATTTTTAATGTTGTTTTCATTCTACATTGGAATGAAAACATTTTAATGGAATTATTAGAAAACTTCAGGTACAGAAACTTGCATATCTGGATTTTGAAAACCAGTGTTTAAATCCAGAAGCAGCTTGCTCTAAAGGCTGGGGTCATTAGAAGAATGGAACAGACAAGCTCTCTAGTCTGTTTAGATGTTTTTACCAGCAGCCAGCATGACCTGTAGCATCTCAAAGCTACAATTGCAAGTAAAGTCTTGCCTATTCCATGCTGAAGCATACTTAATACAGACAATGTCTTCAGGGGAATTTAACTACTAGAATTCATGAAGTGTCCCCTGAGCATGTATGCACAGAGTCTTATAATCTGGTTAAATGTAAACAGATTTTCACAGAAATGGAAAGAAGACACATTTGTAACACAGGCTACCCCTACTAGATTTAAGTCAAACTCATATTAGTGATGGTACTTCAAAAAAAAAAAATTAAAAGGTTGGAGAGGCTATCAAGATTTTTAAGCATCTGTAGAACAGCATGTTTTCCTCCTAGACCATTCTCAGCAGTAGCTGCATGCTTTTGGTTATAATTCTCTTTAAGAAAAGAAAATAATTTAACCTGCAGATACCAAGCCTGGAAAATTTCATCCCAGGCAACTATAGTCTAAAAAATGTTAAGCAACTAAAAATAGGGTTTTTTCCCAACACTCTGTTATAACCATAATACCAGATAGTGTTACCAGCCCCACCTATAACTAGTTTTCTAATTACCCCACATTTTATTGAAGCTTTTTATAGACAAATAATTAATTGACCACTTGTCCGTAATTTCAAAATATTGTACGCAGCATAACTACATACTAACTGAACAGTAAAAAGGAACTTAATTGTAAACTAGAGGTTTCTCAGGAATAAGAGAATCTAGGACACTGTTGTGCTGTGTGGTGCTAATTGATTCAGGATGAACTTAAATGTGTGACAATCTAACCAAGCAATTTGAGCTTTTTAACACTTCAGCTCCTATGTTTTAATGAGCATTAGGGCACCAGTGTCTTGTTACAGGCCAAATTATCTACATCCTAAAAGTGTTTTGTTGTTTGCTTGTTTTGCTTTTGTTTTGTTTTGTGCCCTCCCTCCCCCACACACACAACCACACCACTGATTTTAGTGCCTACTAACCATAGACTTATAATTGGGCCTTTAAGTGAAATAATAGCATAAATCAGAAATACTGAGGATTTGTAGAACAAAGTAATATTCCTAGAAAATGCTGGATTATTGAGCACTCTCTACTTACAGCATATAATGTTTAAAATGAATTCCATAACAAACCAAACTTTCACACTGAAAGATGAAAATATACAAAAAGCAAGAGATTAAATAGGTTACACTTTTGATTGCATGTACAATAGGCATTACTTTATCATTTATAGTTTGTCCCTTTTTGGGGAGAAGGCTGGCAAATGCATGATGGCTTATTTACCTTCTGGGAAAAAAAGAAAGAACCAGTTATTGACTGACTTTCCTATTTTTTGTGTCCATTAGAAGGATATACGGAAATAATTTCCATTAAAAAAGAGAAAGGTGAGTTTGTAATTGGCAACCTGTTTGTCGTAAGTTATGTTCTCTTTATCATAATGATACAGGTCATGAGTTACAACATGAAATTTTGTTTCAAGGCAGAGCTTGGAATTTTCTAATAAATGTTTTTGGCTATAAAATGTCACTTTGAAACAGAACATTTTTGTGGATCTTCTGATGAAAATTCCATTAGGAATTTTAGGTTTCTCACATCCAGAATGGAAAATAAGCTACTTATTGAAACAAACTTCTTTCATCACAAGAGCCAGAACAAGAGTGCCACCTCCAAATATCCAATGGCCTAGTAGTTAAAACACTTATACAGAATGTGGAAAACCAGCTTCAAGTCCTTGCTCTGCCTGATTCAGAGCAGATACTTGAACCTCAGCCTTCCTCATTCTGGGTGAGTGCCCTTCTGTTGGTGAGACTCTGTGTCTCTAGTTTTTCATTAAAATCTCTGAAATGTCTCAGGGCTGTCTCAATGTAGAACGGAAAAAAATGGCAAATTTTTTACAGAATGAGAAAATGATTTCCTGTTTTGAGTCTATTTGAAAAGCCATCAGAAGCACCATATTTGAGCACTGTTATCAAGTACACTATTAAGATGGACAAAGCCCTAATCTTATGTGAGCCAGGCAGAAGGGGTGCAGAAGGAAAAATCACTAGATAGAATATACTGTCATTTTTGACAAACCTTTCTGTGTTCTTCCATTTGATGTGACTTAGCAGTCAATAAATAGACCTTGCACCTGTGTTTATATCACAGGGGGCTCTGCAATCTCTTTCAGATTAGAACTGTCATACTGAAAAGCCAAATTTTTTTTATATTGAGGCAACAGAAAAGTAAAAGAAACAGATGCCAGAAAATCCATTGCATGAAAACTAACTTAACTGCTAGCATTCCTCTTTTCATTTTCCCAAATACATAATTGACTAATAGTCATCCTTTGAAAACCGTGTCAATTTAAATTTCAGAGTTCATTTCTTTTATAAATTTACCATCCCTAACATGTTAAGATTTTTTCTTTAAGCTGAAAACTCATGTTTTCAAGTTCCTTTAAATAGCTGAGAAGGCAACAGAGAGAAGTATGACTATAAAAAGCTGATTCTGAAGTGCCACAAAGGTAGAGAAACTTCCCACATGCAAGAGTCTAGGAAAGAATTACTTTCAAATGTGACTCCAGAGTTCTTGAAGGAATGATAGGGCTGGTCATTTGAAGAAAAAAAAAGACATGATTTTAGTATGTCCCACCCTGGACATTCAAGAATAATTTTAATGCAGCTTCAATATATTCAGAATAGGTTATAAAACATAAAATCATGAAATGCGTGTGTGGGTTCAAGAGTCTTCAAGCCCATGAAAATATTCTGGGTAGTAGTAGGAGATATGTATTAGGGAACAGTTGATTTATATGTTGTATGTAGATTTTAATATAGACCACTGTCAGTTTTGTCAGTGTTATGCTATAAAACTAGAGTGTAAAGAATATGTTGAGTCTTTTAACTATAAATCTTGTTGATTTATAGGAGTTGGTTCACTACTATGTTGCCATCGTTTTATGGCAACTCAGTTGAAATTAATGAAATTACATAATCATTAAACTGAAGTAATTTAGAGAAGCAGGTTTACTGTCTGGAAACTGTAAACATTAACAAATCATTGTCATCTTTGTTTCCCCAGCTCCTGTCCGATACTTCCAATGCGTCTTCCTTGATGGGCATAATGGATATGGATTGCAATTCCCCATTACTTCAGCCCCCAGCCACAAAGAAAAATCTAGACATTCAAAGGCTTCTAAGAGGAAGACAAAGGCACCAGGACAGTAGAGAGACTTATAACCTGTGGATTTTTCAGATTTTGCACTTTACTTCTTCTACTGAGGTCCACCAACATTACAATGGACCTGTTATTGTAAAGATGTGATTTACTAGATAACCTATACTTTGAGAAGATTTTTTTACTATTTTATGAATGGTTCAGAGGGAAAAGGAGTGGCTATGAGCACTTCGACAAACATAGAAATTCAAAAATACCCCATTTCTTGTGGAAATGGTGTGATGTTGAAATAGTTTGTCAAGTTGTGGGCACATTTTGTTCCGCCACTTCTGCTTTGTATCTCTCTCTCTTGCCTACCTGCTTGGTATTAAACTGTGTCTGTTTTTCCATTTACTCTTTAAATGGTAAAATGTGTGAAACTCTTATTTCAGCAAGACCTTTTACAAGGCGACCTGTAATCCTAAATCATTTCTTCTTCATGTTCACTCAGAACTTGACAGGAAGAAGCCTCACCAAAGAAAAGAAACTGTGCTTCTTGTCTGGTGCTATTTTTATATATAATTTACCAGTTTAATTTGAAGCACATAGCTTATCTTTAAACAGCTCAGCATGCTGGTGGTGAGGTTGACTATCAAAATCTCATTAATGACAACTATTTACCTTCAACTCGAAGATAAGCAATAAAGATCTGCTATGTTTGTCCCAAAGCATTTTCCAGATGATAACTGTTCACTTTCTATGTCTCAAAATGAGTGGAGGAAGTGAGGGAGGATGGGACTCTTAAAAGAGGAGGTGAAGTAAAGAGGTAAAGCTATGAAGGTCTCAGAAATGGGAAAGAAATCCTTCTGGTACCTCTACATCTCTTCTTCGGATAAATTTCTTATCAAGTCAGATCTATTTGCCGTGTACACTGTGCAGATGGATAGTACTGGATAGTGCTAGATTTATTGTGAAGAAAAGTCAGAGGGGGAGCTATATTAAGAGACATCACTTGTGAAACCATGCAAAGCCAAATGTGCAGGTAAACATCTCAATTTGATTCAATATTTTTTTTAGCATGGAGGAGGGGCTCAGAGAGTAAAAACAAACAGGAAAAATGGTGTTTAATTTTGGCATATAATTTTGTTAGATGAGATGAATGAGCTCCTCTAGCTACTATCTGGCTTCCTTCAAAATGCACTCTACTGTCCACTATTCCTAGGTTGAGCACTCGAAGTAAACATACCTGTCCTCAACTCCCTTTTTTTTATTTCTTTAGACAGAGCCAATTATCAAGTATAGAAAAGAGGATAAGATGATCTTTGCTCTATGTGAAAATGCCTGATTGTAAATCAGGATTGTGACTGTAAATCAGGATTGTGTTGTCTGGCAATGTAAATAATAATGCCTTTTTGCAAGCTGCTATTTGTTTTCTTCTTTACTATATTTATGGATTTAATCTGTGACATGTACAGATGTGATCTCAAGTTTATAGTTACTAGGTGAAGCATCATGAGATTATTACATGGCATAATCTGGTTGCTCCTGTAACTATATATTGCTTTTTTCAGCAAAAGCCAAGATAAGTCTCAGTGCTGTAGTGGTTTTATTTCAATTGGATGGGTTTCAGGTAACTATGTCCTAGATGGCAATTCAGTATGGGATATGGATTTTTTATTTATTTTTTTTTACCTTCAGGTCACTGGGTCAGTATGAAAGTGGCTGGAAGTCATTACCCTCTGATTGCTGTTCAGTGCCCTATGTGAAATGAGTTCTGGGTCTCAACACTCTCCATATAGGTGCCTACATCATAAAATCCATAGACAACCACCCTCCTTCACCACAGGCAACCTAAATTGCAGTCTCTGCAGACATGCAGAAGCTGAACCTCCCCTTTTTGCCCCTAGAGTGGTTCTTCCTGATCAGGAAGGGGGCAAACTGAAAATGTGAATTTACTGTATCCTCTAGAATCTGTTCTGTGAATAAATAGAGGCTTGCAGAATGCTGAGTTGACAACTTTAACTATAAACAGGCAAACCACAGTTTTTCTCAGTAGGAATTTTATTCCCCCCATACACACCCCAATGTCTCCCCCTCCAAAAAATATATCTTTATGTATGTATATATATTATTACACTGGTGGTTGTCCTGTAGTATTACTACTAAGACTGTCGTAACTAACTTTCAGAAAACTGGCTAATTTAATTTTGAGCTTTGTCCAATTCCTATAATCAGCAGATGTAATCTTTCAGTAAAAATATCTCAAATAATAAGTACATTTCCTTTTTTGCATTGTATTTAATCTTACTTTCCCATTGCTTGTTAGCTGAGAGGAAGGACTTGAATGTGTTTGAGAGCCCATGAATGTGTTAAGAGCCATCAAAATAGCTCTGAAAAAGTAAATAGTTTACTAGTGGTATAAATCTGGCAATATATTATTACCTTTGCATCTCAGCCACAGACAAAAATATTTTTGGACATTGGTCTTGAGTCAAAATGGTAGTTTTTATACTATGGACTGTGTAAATTGAGTTTATCTGAAACCTTAATAAAGTGTTACTTAAATTGCATGGTTTTACTCAAATTAGCCTAAAATATTGCTGAAGCATATATGCTTATTATTTGTTTTGGAAAATAAAAAATATATAAAGTTTTTGCCAATTGTTGTGGGATGTTTTTCTGATTCTGAGAAGGGAAGCAAGGAATGCAGGGAAGTAACTTGATTCACCACATTATGAGTTCATGCATATCTGAATATTCAGGGGCATGACATCTACAAATACAATTTGTTGTTATGGTATCCTTCTGTGTATGGTTTCAACTTGATACCTACTTTACATTTAGCATCATATGCTATGACAAGATTTTTTTTTCCTCCACACTTCACTTGTGTATTCCACTTCAGTGTTTTGAAAGCTTGTGCTTGCTACAGTCAGTGATTGTCTCCTCCACTCATTTACATGTCTACCTTTACCCTAGTTGGGACAATATCTAGCCCATCTGTCTCTTCCATCAGACCCAAAACAAGAAATTGTAAGATAATGGAACATTTTGGTAGTAGTTGCCTTTACATAGTAGTCACCAACAGTATAACTAGGAGTGGGTGAGCAGAGAACAAGACCCAAGCAGCAACTTAGAAAGGGCTCAAGAATGGTGGACCCCATCCATCCAGTCATGGCTACCATGCAGGATACAGAAATTGCTGATTATGCTTCTGGAAATTACTATGTATTCCAGACTTTTTTTAGACTAAGGAACTTAACTTGGCTGCAGGTGACATGCTGTTTCCCATAGAGATTATTTAGTACCTCAGAGCCAAAGCCTGAAATCTCATCCTGCTCTAGACAGTAAGTGCCTGACTCAGGGCTGCAAGCAAATGCTTCCATGCATTCAAGTCACAGTTCTCCTCTGAAGATAGTCACCTCCCTCTAGTTTTTCCCACACCTGAGTTGGCTCAACTTTTTTTAGAATGTGGCCACAGCTAAAGCGGGTAGTGATGATTGATGACTAGAACATGGTATTTAGGGATTTGCTTTTAGGAACTGGCTCATAGGTAGAGTAGATTTGTATTAGAACAAGGGTCCAGGGGAACAACAAGGGTTACTTGGTTTCTAAAAGCCTGTTTGTGACACAGTTTCCTTCAAGGCCCACTGTTTCTGGAACCAGCAGACAAAACAAGCTGGGAAATTGAAGTGTATGGATAACATGAGATAAGGGTACCAGGTCACAGTGACCAGCTTCAGCATCCTTGGGATTTCCAGTTTTGGTGTATGGACTAAATTAGGAGGCCAGGGCATGCCCAAATTAAGACACCAGTAAGTGCCCAAATTAATATGTATACATGTGATGGGTTTATGAAAATTAAAGAATAATGGTGACTGTGTTGGTGACATGCCCCCACAGGGTTTCAAAGGGGTGGAGGCGAGCTCTGCGGGTCCCAAAACCCTGAAACAGACCCCCTGCAGGGGAAACGTACCCCTGGCAGTGCAGGAACCGGGACCGTGGACGCAGCTGCGCGAGCCGGCGTTACGCCGGCTGTTAAATCAGCTGTTCCCCGCATGGGGAACAGCTGAAACAATTACAGCAGCCGTACCAGCCACCATGTGGAAGTTTAAAAGCCCCGGCAGTCCCTGCGGAGAGGGGGAGCCAGAGGAAGAAGGAGGTGAGCAGCACCCCAGAGGTGCTAAGGCTCTTAGAGGGAAGAGGAGCGACACAGCTGGAGCAGGGCAGGGGAAATCTTTGAGCCCCCTGCCAAAAGCAGACAAGGGGGAACACTTAGTCCCCCTGTAGGAGGCAGAGCAGGGGAAGCACTACAGCTCACTGCAGGAGGCAGACCAAGGGGAGCATCTGAGCTCTCATCAGGAGGCAGAGAAGGGGTAGCATTTGAGCCCCCTGGAGAAGGCTGGGGAAAAGGAGGCAGCTCCATGTCCCTCCTCCCCCCAGGAGAATATTTCTTCTAAAGTAAAGCAAAAATAGGAAAAAGGGGAAAGGGGAAAAAAAATCAAAGAGCTAGAGAGAGAGAAGGTAGAGGCATCTGACCAGAGTTGACCGGAGACAACTGAGCCCACTCAGATGTGGGTAGCCCCACCTGAAGCAGGCGGCGAGCAAGCCCTGTGGGGTCGAAACAACCATTGCATCATCACCTATCCAGTTGGCGAGTGGATGGGGTGTAGGGGAGGCAGAGCCCTGTGGAACATCACACCAAATGATTGTGAGTACCGCCATTGTTGGGGAGCCCCTCCAAAAAGATCTCCACTGAACCCCCTCTCTTGGTATCTCAACATCAAAGTCATGGCAGGTGAGTTGAGGGGAGGGGCTACATACCCGACAGGCCACGCTACCCATAAGGCCCAGGGATCACAGTAACAGAACAGAATGTGGACAGTAGGACAACCACAGGGAAACCAATCAATGGTATGCAGAGATGAAGATTCATCAGAGGAGAAAAAGGATACCAAAGGAGGGATTTCAGAGCAGCAAAGGGTCCCTGAGGGAGGAACCTGAGGCTACCATGGATAGAGGGCACACCACCAGCCTGTCTCGCCCACCCCACTGGGGAGGGGGTTCACCCCTCGACCTCCAGGCTACTGACATTCAAGAGATAACCACAGGGTGAAGTGTCGCATACTGGCCATATGTACCTTCCCTCTGAACCCTAGGACTAGTAGATATATAATGGCGGGGAAAGGGGGTATTTTGTTTTCCTTGCCTGCATTATTTTTATCTGCTATTAGTGTGTATCAGTAAAATTTGCCTCTTATTGAATGGAAGAAGTAGTGGTCGCTCTGAGGATTTGGGTCTACTCAGAACAAGATAGCTGGGCCATAAATCCAGTGCCAACAATGATGGGTGCCCACATTTTGTATTAAACCCCAGTTGTTACAGCACTCCCTACAACAGAAGTTTTATCACCCACAATCTGTACTTGGCATATCAGCTGAGTAGGGGGAGTCCTGGCTTCCAATCCCTGCATTTTGTCCAGTGACTATCTGATGTAAAATTCAGAAATAGGGTTGGAGAGAGTTATAAAGATTTTTATCACATTTCTGCTCAGCCATCTTCTTTAGGCTAAGCAAACCCAATTCCTTAAGTATTTCTTCTTAGGGCATACTACATTTTTTGGGTTTGTTTGCTTGCTCTCTTCAGGACTCTCTGCATCTTTTTCTCATCCTTCCTAAACTGTAGTGCCCAAAGCATAATACAGTTCCCCAGATAAGGTTTTACCAGATCTGACTAGAGTGAAAAGATACTTCCACATCTTTAATAAGACTTGCCTATTTATGTTTCACAATCTGACAGGATTTTTGTTTTGGTCTCATTTTGTAATAGTATGAGTTTATTGAGTTTTAGATCAACAACATTGTGGGGGTCTAGGATTTTGAAAAGGGGTGTGCAGGTGGTATGATGAATCATCCCATATAATACAAAACATTTTTCTCCGCTTTAATAAAACTTTTTGTTTCTCTTAATGTACTTGAGGCTTAACACTAAGTTATTCAGTTTAAGATCAATTCAAAAACAAATATCACTTTATTGGAATGTGGACTAATTTTCTAGCTTTTTATTAAGTTTAAAAAATACAACAAACTAGCCAAAAATAGTCCAAAGATTTTGTTTTATTAGTCATGTATTCATTACTGTTAAATGTGCATCTCTTATTCAGAACTGTTAAACAAAATCTAGCCTTCTTGAGCATTTTGACAATGCATCCAACACTTTACTTTCAATCTTTTTCACACTGGAGTGAGTGTTCCCCTACATTAATATTACCACACCCGAGTTAAGGTTTTGAGCTAGAATTAAAAACAATCTTTTGGGCTGTGAAATAGAAGAGAGATGTTATCAGGAATAGCTAACAGAAGGCACATCTACACAAAATGCTACTGCGCAGTGGTTACTGCACATATATTTAATGCTTGTATAAGCAAACATTAAGTAAATGTGCAGTAACCAGAGTTACTGCACAATAGCACTGGCAAATGCCTTTTAAGTGATGCTACTGTGCAGTAGCCTAATACTACTGCACAGTAGTGTCTCAGCATGGTTTTTGCCACGTGATGCAGTAGTATCAAGCAGTATGCAGTAGTATCAAACTACTGCACAGTCAGTGTCTCATGTAGATGCACCCAGACAGAAAAATTGCAAAAGAAAGCTTGAGTAATACAGCATCAAGACCATTTTAAAAAAAGAGGGTCATTAACACCCAAGTAGAGTTTAGCAGGAATAAGGCACATTATAAAGAGCAATGCTGTTAATTAACTCCTTCACTGCTGCCTGAATAGAAATGCTGCTGCCTCTCCCAGACATTTGGTTTTAAAGTTTGGATGAAAAAGAAAGGTGTGGGTACAACTGCACCACTGCCCCAACCCAGATTCATCCCTGATCCACAGTATCCACTTTGCCCACCACATTCTTTTCTCCAGAGTTGCTGCCTAGCCAATCTTTCCCCAGCTGTAGTTCCTCAGTTGATCATTTTTGCAATTTTGCTACCTATTGACACTGGATTTATGAACCAGTCTTGATACGTTGTTCCATGGGGGCACAACCTCTCTAAGTGACCAACCATAACCCCTTCCATTCGAGAGTAGGAGAATTTTATTGATACACAGGAATAGCAAATAGGACTAATGCAAGTAAAATGATCCTACGTATCTACCAGTCCTAGGGTTTCACAAGGAGACAGTACATCCAGCCAATATGTGAATTCCACCTCATGGTTCTTGCTTGAATTAGGATATCAGCAACCTTGGAGGTTGGAGGATGATGCCAAATTGCTGCCCTGAAGATCCCTACTTTTGTATTTTTTCTTTTGATGACTCTTCATTTCCAGGTACTGTTCTTTTGTTTTCCTGTGGTCATCATGCTGTCCACATTCTGTCCTGTCAACCTAATCATTTGTTTCTTTAAACACATCATGTGTACACATCTTAATTTGGACATTCTCAGTCTCCTAATTTGGTCATTCCACCAAAACAGGGGACTTTTCACCAGGCTGCAGCTGGTCATTTTGACCTGATGTCAATTCTGCATGTTTCTATCATGTTGTAGGTTTTAAGGGATAGTGGTTGTTTCACTGCTGCATGGTTTTCAGTTTCCCAGGATGTATGTGCCTGTCTGTCTGCTAACTTTGGACCCTTGGACTGCATCC